TCCACGTACTCCTAAATCATGAGGAAGGGGGTGCGATCTTAACTGCCAACTAAATCATTTTGTTAAATATAAAACACATTTATCTGTTTTCCCTGTAAGGTCGTGTGGGACGTGCCGGTCGCAGTGGCGTCACCTACAGTTTGGTTTGTCCAGACGAGATGGCACTTGTTTATGACCTTCACCTCTTCCTTGGAAGACCTGTTCAGTTTGCTACGCCAGAACACACAAGAGGTAGAGGGCGGTGAAAAAAACTTGACCCATCATCACCTGGGGGAATCGAACCCTTCACCTAAAAAATGTTCTGTATGTTCGACGGGCCCTGTCTCTCTGTTCCCTAGATTCCGACGGCGTGTTTGGCCGCGTCCCTCAGAGCGTCCTGGACGACGAAGGCTCTCATCTCGTCACGTTGCACGAGAACTCCCTGGACCTGCTTAACCTCCAACGGGTGTCGGAAAACGCCTACAAACAGTACCTGAAGTCCAGACCCAACCCTTCTCCAGAGTCCATCAGACGGGTCAAGAACACAGACCTGTCCACCATGGCTGTTCATCCCTTATTAGGTCAGTTAGGGGGAGGATGACCAGCAGGGGGTGCTGTTGCTGATGGTGGTTTCTGCTAACACAGTTGTTGTTGTTTCAGGGTCGGCTTTAGATCAGGTGGAACTGCAGCACCTTCAAATAGTCGACGCCATCAAGGGCTACAAAGCCAAATCGGTGAGTTACAGTCCATGCAGACAGGGGTTGTCAAACTTATGGTCTGTGGGCCAAAACCCGCCCGCTAAGATGTTCGGTCCGGCCCGCTTGATGAATTTTGAAAAAAAAAAATTCCAAAAAATAAACAAACAAAAGAAACATCTTCTTCTTCCAGACTATCTTTGAAATCAACTCCACCAGTAAGACCCAGGCCAGCGAGGTGATGCGAACCAAACGCTCCAAGGACGCGCGGTCCGTGGACAAATTCAACAAACACCGAGAGGACGTGGCTGCAGAGAGTCGACTTCACGAGCCTGTGAAACCAAACGCAGATGATGACTTTTCACACACCGTGGGCTCTGAAGAGGGCGCTCTAAACGTAAGGCTTCACAGGGCGTCTGTGAATTTCTCTGTTTAGTTGAAATGTGAATCTGTTTTGTTTTTTTTCAAACCTGGCCGTTTGAGTGATTTGTTTATGTTTGAAGGACATAAAATGTCCAAGACAGTAGCTAAATGTTAGTCATACAGTTATAAAAAATTAGTAAAACAAGTTCAAGTTTGCTAAAAAAAATCAAAAAGAGTAAAAATTAAATGTCAGGAAAAACATTTGTGGAAATATGACCAAAAGCTGAAAGAGAAACAACAAATGATCAAGAGTTGGTCAGATTAACTCTAAAGATATTTGTTTGTACATATTTTGGTCATTGAAGTCAGTATTGAACACAAATCTTATTTGTTTTTCTCGAGCATCGACTGGACATGTAATATATTTTCTTTCCACCAGGGGGTGTTTTCAGCTGTGGTTGGTGTGAAACGCAGCGGACCTCATGAAGGTGCAGAACAGCAAAGGAACAAGAGGAGCAGAGAGAGGGGTAAAGACGAGGAGTACTACATCCCCTACAGACCCAAAGACTTCGACTCAGAGAGAGGGTGAGTCATCTTACCTCACCTCACCTCACCTCACCCCACCTCACCTCACCTCACCTCACCTCACCTCACATTGCTGTGTGTCTGTTTAACGTAACTGCAGCGTGATGTTGACCCTGTGTTTAACCCTGTGTGGTCTCAGTTTGAGTCTGGGTGGAGAGGGCACTGCTTTTGACCAGCAGGCGTCCACGGCCGTCCTGGACATGATGGGAGACGAAGGCGATCACTTCACCAAACACAAGAGTCTGATGAAATGGTGAGGATTTGACTTTCTTAAAAAAAAACCACACACTTTCTTTCTGAACTGTGAACTGACGTCTCCCTCCACTCGTCTGTAGGGACAGAAAGAGGAAACGCTTTGTGAAAGACACGGGAAAGGAAGACCAGAAAAAGAAGATGAGAATAGACGGAGGACAAGTCATCGGCGTCAAGAAGAACAAAAAGAACTTGTATCCTTTAAAAACAAAACAAAAAAACTTGCAATCGTTTTGTTCTTCTTCCACCACTGCTGCTGTTTTCTCTGGTCTGTGGAACTGTTTTGTCTGACCTTGACTCAACGACAGCTACGAGGAGTGGAAGAAAAAGTACAAGGTGGATGATGGAGACGCAGGCGCCGACCACGAAGCAGGAGGAGGAGGAGGGAGGAGGAGACCTGGGAGAGGTGAAGAAACGACATTTATGAGACTTTTTATTATTATTAACTATTAATTATTATTATTATTATTATTATTTTAAATCATATTCTACAGCTGTGTTTTGGCCACATCTACGGCGACGACTGACTTTTCAGAATCAATTTTTATTTTTCATAGTGTTTTAGTTATTTTTGATGAAACCAGTTTTGTCCAAATAATTTCTTTAAACCTTTAGCTCCTTTAAGTCTGTGCTAATATTTTGTTATCTTTCCAGCTAACTTTCAGCTTCACTAGCTTTGGGCTATCTCACATCTAATTAGGTTTTTATTTATTTTAATCAGTTTGTTATATTTATGGCTACCTTTCATCATTTTTGGCTAACATTATTCATCTATTTCTTATCCGGTTTATTTCATTATATTTTATACTAATTTAAGGAAGTACTCTTAGTTTTAGTAGCTAATTAGCTAATTTGACTTCTTTAAAAATACTGCAACACATCTTTGATACAGGACTTGAAGTCTTGTCAGTTCAGGATCAGTTTTAAACATTCCAAGAACTTTGTGTTTATTTTTCCTAATTTCTGCATCTGATTTATTGACTGTTTCTTTTTAGAATTCTAATCTAAGGATTTTTTTTTTATTTGATGTTAGACTTTATTCAGCTGACAGTTAGCTTCACTAATCACAGAAGACTAAACTGCTACTCTTTGTAATCACCCATCTGTCAGGTCGGGGCCACGGTCACCGCGGTCCAAACACCCAGAGCTCTGCTGGAGCTCAGCGTACGCCCGGGGGCCGGATAGTGCGCTCAGAGCTGAAGTCCAGCAAACAGATCCTGACGCAGCGTAAGAAGCAGCAGAAGCAGCAGTTCCTGCAGGGCGGAGGGATGAAGAAGCTGCGGTCCAAGAACCGACGGTGGGTGGGAGAGGTCAAGAAGTCGGGCTTCGGACGAGGAGGACAGAAGAAAGGCAAAATGAAGAAGAGGCTGTGAGGAGGAGAAGACGCAGGAGTGTTCCTCTGAGAGGCTGCAGATCCAGGGTTTACCCAGAGACTGATGATGATCACTTCATACCAGTTATTGGTTTTTGTGGTCTTTTCTCCTGGTCACTGCATGAATGAACTCTGTATTTGTCACAGAGAAAAGAAAAAGTCTATTCTCTTGGTTTGTGTCTTATTCAAAAGATTGTTTTCGCAGAATAATCTGAACACATGGGTTAAAAATTCAGATTATAAATCTGAATAATCTAATATTCTTTGTCATTTCTCTATCATTGGTCTTCATCTTTATTTTGAAAAACAACATTCGATTGGTTCCACACTACATGACAAAAGCTTCTTTTCAACTCCCTATACTCCAGGCTAACTTTAGTTTATTCAGTAAACTTTAGTTCCAGTTTGTCTCTGCTGTTCTTCAGACCAGTTAAATGATACCATAGCATCACAATATATAAAATCACGAGTTGTTTCAACTCAATGCTTCCTTTGTTTTAATATAAAGACAAGTATGTTAACAAATAAAACATGTAATGGCCTGTTATTTAAAAAAAAAACAATTCATAAACAACTTGGTCATCAGAAAAATGAATTTCAGTGATATTACATACAATGTACAACTACAAAATATTTGCTTTCAAAAAAACAAAAACAAAAAAATATATATATATCATATAATAATTTTAACGGTCTAAGTGACTTATTACGCACCGTAACAGGGCCAGATATATGATAAACAATCAAGTTTAAAAAACGTTTTAAAGACGAACATCCATGAATCTGCCACAAGATGGCCCCACAGCTATTATCGTGTGGAAATCACAGACTCCTCCCACAAGGCAAACCAACAGGAAGTGAGTCTCGACCACGCTCCTGAGCGGATATTAACCAACCCCTCAAGACCTTTGACCTTCATCGTTTCCCGCTGAACATCGTGGCGTTAGCATGTAAGTTAAATATTAACGTCTTTTTGTGCTGTTTTTCTTTATGTGTGGGTTTACAGGTTCATTTCCCATGTATTTGTATTGATACCAAAGATTAACTGCACGTATCTGTAAATTAAATCGCCAAGAAATAATTAGGCTAGCTTCGCTAATGAAGCTAGCTATGCTAATCAGGTTAGCTTGGCTAGAAAAGTTAGCTTTGCTAATTACGTTCGCTTCCAGACGTTTCGATAAACGTTTGCACTTAGTAAATGTTATCCCTCTGTTTTGTATTTTTAAAAAACGTTCATTTCCTGTTCAATAAAGTGTTTTGAACAACTCTTCTGGATCCCGGTGTGTTAATTTGCACAACACATGACCTGTTTACTATGACTGTTGGCAGAAAACATTTTATTTATTTATTTCTAATATTGGTTTATGTGAGTGATCTGTTGCTCATAGTATTTTGAAATGAAGGTCTGGTTGACCGATGTTTTGTTGAATACACAGTTCTTGTGAAGTGACTTCATTTTGTTTGTGGAAATCTTATTAAGGGTATTTGAATGTTGACGAACTGGACAGAAATTGTTCGTTTTTTTTGTTTTTATGCCTTGGACAACCGGTCACAGAAGATTACGTCCTCTTTATTTTAGCAAGATTTGTTCAGTACCTCAGTTGGGGAACGGGGCAGGGAAACATAATTGATATATCTCAATTATGTTTATATATATATATAAACATTAAAATGAAGTGTTTTTTATTGTGAAATAAAAAAATATTTGGAATGAATGTTATTGAAAATTAATTTAACTTTTTTTTCTTTTTTCTGAACAGGAATGCTGTGTTTTGGTGGAACATGGAAAAGATTAAGGTTTTTATTTCACTTTACACAAAGTTTAAAAAAAAGGGAAAGGGGCTCTTATGTATATTTTAGTGCTGCTTGTCTGCTTTTTTTTTTTTACCTCATTAGTACATAAATGTGTTCTATTTAAATTTGTTTAGATTTTAGTTTTTAAATTTGGTGATTTTTGTCACAAATATCTCCTTTATCTGCTTGTTTCTAAATCCTGTTTTTTTTCCTATGTATTGCAGATGACAAAAGTATTCGTTTCTTTTACCACTGCTACAATCACAACACTAGACCCAGAGGAAAATACAGTAGAAGTGAGACCAGTGGCTCAGTTCATCTGGATGTTGTTACACTGCTTTTTCTTTCTTTCTTTTTTTTAAACTAGTGTTCATGCCATCACATGTTATTCATGGCTGTGGCTGCTCTGAAGATTTGTGGCTTCCAGTCGTCTGAGTGTGTGAACGCTGCTAAAGATGGAGAAGCCTGGAGGTACGTGGGTAAAGTATTTGGTCCAAACACGGCACAGTCACCATGGAGACGTCAGAGAACACAAACCAGAGCAGCATCATATTTCACAGAGGTGGGTCCGTGGCCTTTGATTGAAACTGTCAATATTTCTGATCCACTCTCTGTCAGTGGATGATAAATAATTTGTAAATTTCTTACTGTTGTGCACACAAAGTACATATGTATACACATTTTATACAATACTGTATTTAGGACAGTTTAACGTTGCATTATTTTCAGCAAATCTCTGAGACCAACTAGCAGTTTAAGCTATTTTTGTGTTAATTCAGTAAGTATTTGGATTGTGTTTGGCACTAACTTCATTTGCTGTTTCTGGTCAATTATTTATTTTTTTTGTTTTTGTTTTAGAGCTCATCTTTTTAGTTCATATCACATGACATTACTTGAGGTTAAATATTTTTTTATTTTGCTATATGTAGCCTTTTTTTGCTTTATTTTTTGGCTTAATGTCAGCTGTTTCCTGGGCTACTTTCTTTGTTCGCCTTTTGGGGTAAAAGTTTGATCCTTTGACTAAACAATTTTCTACATGTTTGGTTTTGATTAGTGTTGGACTGACTTTGAGCTATGTGTGGCTAATCCTTCTCATGTGGCCCTACAGTGTTTAGATTTAAACAGAGGACGCAGCTTAGTTGCCGCGTCCTCTGGGCGACGGACACCGGTGTGTGAAGTCAGTGAAACGTGTTTTCGTTGGTTCTTAGTTTAGAAACTTTCTCTTTGTGATAACAGAATATGATGTTCAGCCTCAGAGTTCGTACTGTGTTGTGCAGTTATATTAATAATAATGTGCCTTTTTTTATGTTGTCTGTGAACTGAGACTAGAACAAGCGTGAGTGAGGGACCAGTTAATCCTGGTGCAGAGCTGCAGCCTCTCGTGTCCACGTCTCGGCCTTCTCGTCTATCTGATGGCCTGTCTCTGCGTCTCAGCTCTTCAGCAGTTTTATCGCGCTTCCCCGGACGAACACAACATCCACTTGAGATACTGCTGAAGAGCCTCAGGATCACAGCAGTGCAGCCAACATGGGGGGCGGAAGGGGTGGGGATGTGAAGGCCTGGCAGGACTGTACTGTACTGTGTGAAAGCAGCCACAGAGGGCATTGTTTGAAATCCATCCAGTTTCACAAGCTGGAAAGTATAGCATTTAAATCCGACTCTATTGTCTCTGTGTTTCATGTAGGCATTGGCTGCTTTAAAGATTAATCAAATACTTGTGTCATGATTTTTTTTGTTTTTTTTCAGATGCTTTAATTTAACACAAAAGCCTGAGTCGTATAAATTAAGAAGAGACATCCTTTTAACCTAACGAGACGTGGGTAGGTCGTAAAAAACAAATCCACAGTGGGTGGACACGAGCACAGCCCTCAATTAGAGAAACACCATCTGATCTCAGACTGTTGCTGGTGTGAACAATAGGAGGATTTTTCACAGCTGAACATTTTTTGAAGAACAGAAGAACGATTGAAGCCAGTGGGTCATAGAATGGTTAGTGGAAGAAAGGTTAGGGCTCTACCTTTCAGGAAGAACTTGTGGCCTACCGTCTAGACAGGAAAATGATCTTATTAAATTCCATTTTTGAATTTTGAATAATCTGTCAACTAGAGTATGGATCATATAAAGAGTCAATTTTATCACTTGTTTTTCTCTTTGGAATAAATCCTAATTTTATGTTTCTAGACTAACTTTGCTAACTAAAAGTGCTTTGCGATTTTGGGCTAGCTTCTTTTGCTAACCTGTAGCTATTTAGGGCCAACCTCTGGTATGGTTCAATTGACTTTAGCATGAAGCTAATCTTGGCTGCACTTGAAGGAATCTTTGAACTTGTGCGTTGTTCGGGTTTAAAGTTTAGTTATGTCCTGGTTAACTTTGAGCTCTGAGCTCTCTTGACTTCTAGATATTTTAGTTGAACTATAGGCTAACTGTTAAAATAGCATAATTGTCTTTTCATCCTCACACTATTCTTCCAACTCTTAAGAACTTTTTGACCTGAGCTAATATTGTTAGCAGCTGAATATTGTACGATGAATGCTTCTCAGCCTACTCTAGTGTTGGATATTACTGTAGTAATACCTGGGCGTTTTGTACCATTGTTGTTGTTTGGTGTGTGCACGAAACTCATAAAATGCTTGACAAGTTTTTTGTAGCAATCGTTTCAAAGCCAGGTTTGCAGTGGTCACAGTACTGAGTGTTTCTGTTATTACTCTCTGCAGACGGCCCCGCGGCCTCCTCCTCATCTCACCACCCCTCCCCACCTCCTCCTCCTCTTCCTCCCCCACCTCCTCTTCTCTGCATGCTCCCGTCAGATGATAAGATTTGCTGCTTTTTCTCAGGCTATCGCTTATGAGGCAAAAGGCACTTGAGGAATGACAGGGCCGACATGACTGACGTTAGCTCGTCTGGCCTCGATGATTTCCACTCTCCTCTCCAAACTGTTGACAAGTCATTACCAAGAATATCTCACCTTTTAAAAAGGAGATTTTGGATCCAATACCAGTTAAATTAAAATAACTTTTTAACCCAGTTTAACACTGGTTTTTGGAGACACTCACCCTGACGAAGAGTGCGTGGGAACGTCTATCTATGCCGGGGGTGTCAAACTCACTTTGGGTCAGAGGCTACATAAGTCCTGATTAGATCAGTCAAATGGGCCGGACAACTACAATCATAATGTAATAACCTTAAATAACAATAAATCTATGTTTTCTCCCCTTGTTTTCCTGCAAGAAAAAGTAAAATTATATTAAATAAATATAAACTATTCATACTTAATGAAACACAATTTTACCACAGATTCCAATATATATATATTTTTTGCATTTATTTATTTATTTACTTTCACTTTTAAAATTCAGCCAGTGGACCAGATTGAACCCCCTTGTGTGCCGGTTTGGCCCATGGGCCGTATGTTGGACACCCCTGTTTTATGCCGTGCCTGAACCAGATGCTTAAAATAGCCTAATGACAAGATAGGCAACATATATACAGTATATGTATATGTATATGTATGTATGTATATATATGTATATATGTATGAATGTATATACATTGTATGTATGTATATATATATGTATATATGTATGCATATATATATGTATGTATATATATGTATATGCATATATATAAATATACATATACATATATATGATGCCTAGCTTTTTATCCTGGACTGTCTTGACCAGGAACGTCTTTCTTAGGTGAACAGATGTGTCCAAGACAGTAGGCCATTTACAGTAGACTGAAGAGAAACCAGATGTGAGAGCATTGATCCAGTTC